GATCCGTTTTCCCAATGGAAAGATTTGGTGCTATCGCATGCTGAGTATTTTATCCCCAAAGACCCATGTCTTAGTAACACTTTCGGTAGGTGGCGCTCTTTCCACCTGCCAGCTTCCCGGTTTGGCGGGAATGAAATCAAAGTTATTCCAGGAAGTCAGGAGCAGATCAAGGGTGCAATTCCCTTTTACCACACCAATATTGAAAACAGATAGCAGAACTTATTTTTCCAAAAAAATTGTTAGTGAGGTAAGACATATGTTAAAGTGGTGGTGGGGGGGTGGACAAGGCTGTGGCATCACTTTTATTACACAAATGTAATCACTGTTCCAAAGAGTTCAAGCATGCCAACTTCCTAACATGAAAAGGAAACTAAAGAAACAGAGGAGAGAATAAATGATGAGAAAAACCCGAGTAGAGATTTAGACAGGCAAGACTTAAATATATAGAGATGGGGAATACTGATGTTATTGCTAAAAACTGCTGTGTGAAGAACTTATGGTGTAAACATAGGTATCTATAACTGCTAAAATGGGGAGATGGTACAGTGTAGTTTGCAAGGATATGAGCTTTAGAATCAGACAAACCTAGATTTAGACCTTGGTTCCAGCTCTTTAATATTTAATCCCAAGCAAATTACTCAACCCTTCATTCTCAATAAGATGATACCTACATTATTTGGTTTTAATAAGCATTAAATTAAAAGAGATAATAAATGTAAAACAATTATCCACATGCTTGGTGCATGGCCAGTATTTAGCAATAGTGTTACTTTTGGAGTACTAAAAATGAGTAAATGTAAATGCTGTTTTTTTCTTCTCTCTCTCTTTTTTTTTTAAGATTTTATTTATTTATTTGACAGAGAGAGACAACAAGAAAGAGAACACAAGCAGGGGAAGAGGGAGGGGGGTGCTCAGCAGGGAGCCCGATGCCAGGCTCGATCCCAGGACCTTGGGATCATGACCTGAGCCGAAGACAGACGCTTAACGACTGAGCCACCCAGGCGCCCTGTCTAAGTAACAAAGAATAATGGAAAATTGTGAATTTTGAAGGGAGGATTCCTATATCAGTCAGTACTATTAATAGTAAGAACAATTTAGAGGAAGCTGAACAGGAAAAGATATATAAGGCTAATTTTAGTGTAATGAATAAGGCCTGAACTTGAATTCACAAAGCTCGAGTTTGTGAGGTGCTCCTTCCTCTACATACAGGCTGTATGATCTTGAGAAAGTCACTTAAACTCATTTTTCATATTTATAAGATAGGAATAAAATTCAATGCCAATTTGAATATGGCATATGATTTGAATTTTAAACATAATAGTATATCTTTACCAAAGAAAACAATAGTGTACAAAAAAAATGCTTTGAAATCTATAAAATCATATATAAATGCAAAGGGTGTTGGGGTAATTACCAATAGTTAAAACTTATTCATTATTGAAGTTCATCATTAAAGCTGAAAAATTATCCTCTCAAAACATGGGTGTATTGAGTTACCAAACTTGGATGAAAAGAAAAAAAAGTAGTTCTAGATTGTGAAACTAGAATTCATGAGGAGAAAAGAGATTGATATTAACATCATATTTGCAATATTTCTGAAAGCATTTCCATGATGTTTGTCCCACTAATGATCCTAATATTCTTTTTATAATGCCTTTAGCAATATTTGAACAGGATTAGAGTTTTGAGTTTTATCTGACATTTCACTTTGCGCCCATTATATCAGTATACACATTGGCTAGCACCTGACTCGAATAATTTAGGATTATATCATTTGTATGTGTTCCTTAAAAATTTCCAAATTAGAGAAAGACAAATTAGCCATATGAGATAAGGTCACAAAAAAAATAGAAATCATATTAATAAAAGAGACTCTAGCAAGACCTCATTACATTATGATCCCTGGCCTTAGACAATAATGGTTTTTGTTAATAATAATACTTATATCAGTAAGTTAGTGTTATGTGTAAATGTTTCATTTATTGGAAACTTTTAAAATTAGTGTTCTACCCGTGTTAAACATGTACCTTGGTATGGTGTGCAGTAATGTCACCAGATAAGAGAAACAAGAAAGTCCCTTCACAGCAATGACTGCTGTGCTGTTTGAAGGTCAATTGTCTTTTAAGCATGCAGAGAATCTTTATCATGTCATACTTCAGAAATATGTTTTTGGAGATGGGAAACAACAAGCCATGTTTTAATGTTTTTGTTGAACCACTATAATTCTTCCAAAGCAATATGCATCACAACAATTTCTCTGTTAAAGAGAATATCAAGTCCTTAAAGAAAATTTCCTATTTTGCAGGTAGAAAGGAAATTAAGAATGCACCTTTTTTGTTGTTGTTGTTTTTGGTTTTGTTTTGTTAGTACACTATAAGAAATTTGCATTGTAAAACAAGCTGCTGTTGTCAGCTCTTTAATGGACCAGAGCAGTCAGGAAGCTGCCTCCACCCTAAGAGGCTTAGAGACTGAGCAACTGAGTTAGACAGCAGGTGCCCAGGCCAATCAAGTCAATTTTCTAACACAGAATGCATGTTGTGGAACTTGTTCTATTAGTCTTTTTTCTCTGTTAAGGAAGCAAGAATTTCTCTGTGTGGATGCAGTGCTGCTATTTCCATTTTGAGAAAAAAAACGGTAAGGAATTTGATAACAATTGACTGGTATTAAAACAACAAATTACCTTTTAAAAAAATAGATTATCCACACCTATAGGAAGAATCTCAAGAAGGAACATAGTTAATAAAAGCTGGTTCCTAATTACACATACAAATATGCACTAATGTCCAGTAAATAACTGGTTGTGTGCACTGTATCTTTTCTTTCCCAGAAAAAGCAACAAAGCAAGAGGTTTTTTTTTAAATCAACAATATAAAAATCTCATTAACATATTTTACAGTTGGAGACCTTCAGAATTTTACTTCCTTTTGCTATTGAAAAGTCACAATAGCCAAAAGGAGTTAATGTATGTTCTTTTAAATTAACGAATGTGGTGGTGGTTAAGGGTGGGGTGAGGGTGCACAGAAAGAAGTTGGCAAGAAAAGGTTCAGGGCCTGTTACAAAACCAACTGCAAGCCAAGTATGATTCCAGATAGACAAGAACCACCTGTTACAACAGAGGGAGAGGTTTAGAAGATGAAATGAGGAGGTGACCTTAAAGATCATTTTCCCAATTATAATACAAACAACTAAGGGAACATGCAGATATTTATATCAAACACATGTGAATACAATATTTGCCACATGTTATTCAATATAAGAAGGCATGTAATTACTTACGTATATCAGTTAATCAAGAGAAACTTCTGGAAGTAGATGGTTTATTATTGGTAATAGTAATAACTACCTGGACATTTACCTAGAGCCCTATTGAATCCTCACAACAACGCTTGTGTTTCAGAGGGTGTTTAACACATGAGGAAACTGACACACAGAGGTAAGTAACATGCTCAAGGCCACACACTTGGTAAGGGATAGTCAGGATTCAATCATATCTGTCCAACTCCAAAGCCCATGCTTTCAACAATTCTGCTGTACTGTGCACTGCATAAATATATGTCATAGTCTTTGGAAAACTTTACTTTCTGGACTTGACCAAAAAAAAAAAAAATTAGAGGGACCTCCCAAACAGCTTAAAGTCCACTAACAATTGCCAAGACCTCCATGGCACATTAGTGTGCAGTTGGAAAAGACAGAAATTCAACGTTACATGAAATGCTTAAGGAAAAATCAATTTTACTTGGCCGTTGCAAAATCAGAAACCCAAATGAACTCTGCCTCAGAATGGAATATACAATGTTTCATTAGAACACACTCTAAACGTTCTTCTTAGTAACAATGTGACACACAGAAAGAGTTCCCTTTTTAACTCTTTTCAGGGGAAATATTCCGATTTCATAAAATTAGGAAAAGGCTTCACTTTTAAAGAAATTACAGACAAAAAAAAAGAAGCTACACAAAATAACTTGTGTTGACTTGTAAGTATTGTGATCACAATGCAGTGATCCTATAAACGATGTGCCCGAAATATCTATTTAAAAGTTGAATGTGAGTACGTGAAAATTTCTTGTAGAGGGCGAATCTCAACAACTGATGTAATGATTCATAAGAGCTTTGTTCTTGATTCTTACCTTCAAATAAAAATTTTATGACTAGAAAAGGGGCATTAAAAAGAGAATTAAAGTTAGTCGGCAATAGAAAAGACAATCTGTCAATGGAAGGACGTAGGTATAGAATCCGGAACGTCAGGGAATATCGAGCGTCCGTCACTTGTAATTTAGTTCTTTATGGGTCGATTTCTTCATTACTTAATTATACGTACGGGTAGAAATTTTTTTCAAAATAGAGGCTCTAACTGGAGAAAACGTAGACATTTGAAAGCGCAGGTTTATTTCTTAAACCCGAGTCGAGCGAGAAGTAGAGTCACCGGTGAGAAATTCATCTTGGATCTCTAGGAATCCCTCTTTCCCAGCCCACGTGGCAAAAGTAAACAGAAGGTGGGCCGGGGCGGGCTGAAGCAGGGCTCGGTCAATTTCCTAATTTGTCGAGTCTTTAAAACTACAGGCCCCTAAAGCACTAAGGGCATGCCCTCGGCGAAACTCGGGAGCGCTTTTGTAGAGCGAAATTAAAGCGACGGTGTAGAGGATGCCAAAGCGGGGGCGAGGCGGGAGCGGGTGCACCTACTGGGGGTGGGGTTGCTAGCCGTCGCGCGCGGAGATGGGTGCGCGCGTGGGCGTGTGCGGAGATACCTGCAAGGAGGTGGGAGTAAGGGCTAGTGCGAGGCTGCGGGGTAGAGGTGGCAGCGCGCCGGGGTGAGGGGCGCGCACATACCTCTAAGTGGGTGGTGGAGTGCGGTACTAACAAAAAGTTCAAAAGGTTAATCTAGGGTCTCCATCCTTGTGTCAAGCACCCACGCCACGTCCCCCTGCGCGCCGGCCCCGCGCCTTCACGCGGGTGGCTTTCCGTCCGAGGGGCTCCGGGGTGCCCCGGGTCTGGCTGCGGCGCCCAGGGACTGGACTTTCCCCCACGCTCGCCCCCGCCCCGCGCTCACCCCGGCGCACAGTTCCCCGGGCCCCACCGCCCAGCGCCAGGGCAGCCCCGGCCTCGACTGCGCACCCCATTGTACGGCCCCCAGGTGCCGCCGGCCTTTGTGCGGGAAGCCCCGGGCGGGGGGCTGATTCCCTGGGAGCCGGGGCTGAGGGCCCCAGGGCGGCGACAGAGGCCAGGGCGGAGGAGGAGGAGGAGGAGGCTGGTGGAGGAGGAGGCGAGCCGGGCGGAGGAGGAGGAGGCCGGGAGGAGGAGGAGGAGAGCCGGCAGCAGCAGCGGCTGCGGCGAGAGCTCGGGCGGCCGCCGCCGCCGCCTCCTCGCGAGCGCCGCGCGCCCAGGCCCGGCTCGCATGCGAGTCACGTCCGCCCCCTCGGCGAGGCCGCCCCGAGACGCCGGCCCCGCCGAGTGATGAGAACAGACGTCAAACTGCCTTATGAATATTGATGCGGAGGCTAGGCTGCTTTCGTAGAGAAGCAGAAGGAAGCAAGATGGCTGCCCTTTAGGATTTGTTAGAAAGGAGACCCGACTGCAACTGCTGGATTGCTGCAAGGCTGAGGGACGTGAACGAGGTCAGAGCGCTTCTCTTATGCCGCGAAACTCTCCCTTTCCTCTCCCCCTTGCTTTCTCTCGGGCTTCCAGGGACTGGGGAGCAAACCCTGCAGTGTCACCCACAAATACCAAGAGGGAAGAGGGAAGCTTCACAAATTACTGGAGCCTCTTCAACATGGCTGACAAATATAGTTTTAATTCCCCCCCCCCCTTTAAACCTGTAGTTCTGTGTTCTCTCCGCTCTCCTGCTAATGCTCCTCTCCTTACCCAGAAAACTTACCTTTGTGACTCCGACCAGCCGGTTTCCCGGCCTTTTATCCTCAGGAAAGTGATTTTTTTCTTTGCTTTCCTTTCTCAAATAGTTCAGCTTTGGGGGGCATTACTTTTCCCTTGAATCCTCCCCGACCCCCTTTCCTTCTTGTAAGTCAGACCAGTCTCTCGTTTAACCTAACCCACCCCGGAAAGAACTCTGACGGAGTGTTTTTCGCCCCTTTTATCTGTTGTAGGGTCTGGGTCTGGGTTTGCGTTCGCGTCCGCCTCTTTCTACCCCGGTGTCCGCTTTTTGGGGGGCGAACTAAGCGAATGTCACGGGGAGTGGACCTGTAGTACACTAAGTGGGGTTTTGTTTTTTCCTAAGTCCGCGCGTTTTGCTAGTGGTGCTGAGTGAGAGAGAATAGTTTCTCTGGTCCCCCAAACAAGACCAGATCCCACTTTTCTCAAGGTACATCAGCTCTGCAATGGGCTGTGCCTTCCAGCCTGGGGAGTGGGTGTAAGAGAATTTGTGGGCAAATCTGTGTCCTGGCTTTGTGCTTCTCCCGAATCAGCTTCGTTTGGTTCCCCGGTAAGTGACAGGCAGACACAAAGGCAGGCGCAGGCCGGGGGAGGGGGCGGGCGGGCGGGAGGAGGGGGGCAGAGTTGAGAGTTGGAAGACTGCAAGGTCAGGGGCGCCGAAAGAAATGAAACCCAATCCCAGCAAAGAAACGGAGAAGTAGGGAGCTGATTTCTAACAGTCCCATCCAAATTTCTCTCTCTGTGTCTTGGTTGCTCTCTTTCCTTTGGTTTTTTATTTATCTGCCTTTCTCTCTGTGTCTCTTTTTTCCTCCTCCTTCTATACACACACACACCACACACACATACACACACACCACACACACACACACACACACACACACACACACCAGTCTTGCCGAATCTTTTCGCTGGGGCTGCTTGTCTAGTGTTATTAAGCTAAGGGAGTTTCTATGGAGAGTTTTCTACCTATGACAAAATAAAGTGTGGCCTGGATAGACTCTTGGGAAGGTCGAATATGAAATATAAGTGTTATTTACTGGCTATTGCTTTCATGACATACATACATAATCACTGACTGATCCCCCCCCTTCTTCATCTAGTGTTTAGGAATTGAAAGAAGGGTTATTTTCCAGTTGTTTGCTTAAAATTTACAGAAATATTTTTATATTTTCCTGTGTAGGGAATAGGATATATCCACGAATTTAAAATCCAAAGTCTCATAATGTGCTTTCACCTCTCCAATAAGGGATAATAATGGCAAATCCAAATAAAAAATATTCATCAACAAATGATCCAACATAGGAGGAAGATTGTTCCTTAGGGGAAGTTGGGATGTAAAGAGAAAAGATATTGGTTTGCTTTGCTTTGCTTTCGTTTAAGACTGTGGGTATTGTTGCCTGGTTAATGAAATCATTTATTTGCGTTTTAATGGAAAGTTGAAATGCTGGAGGAGAGTTACATTCTTTTACATGTTTGCATGTGTGTTTCCTAATAGGTTTGAGATAGAATATAAGTTTCATCACAATATTGGTTTTTTTTTTTTTAATGTTATTAAGCAGAGAAGTGTTAGTGAAGGACTGGAAAGTCAAACTTAAGCTTAGAAGGCATGTATATGATGAAAAGATGGACGGAAGGAGGAGTACAGTAATGGACATTACTCCATAAACCAGATTTCCAAAACCATTTGTCCTCAGTAGTTCACTTTGTAACTCTTTCAATTTTGATCTCTGAAAAAGCGGTTAAGTTTAATCATTGATACTGAAGGTTATTTCACATGATTACAAGGGAGTAGTATTACTGATCTCTGGAATAGAAACAGCTCATTTGGTTAGTTCTTATTTGTCCTAAAATAATAAGGAAAATACTTAGGAGTTTAGCATAAATGCTTACTATTCCTTGAGAAAACTATGATTAATTATTGCAGTAATTCAGAGTTAAAAATAAACAGTTCCTTTTGCTAAAAGACTAATATTTAACTGCTTTTTTGGGACTTTTCAAATGTTGTGGTTTATGCTTTCTTCAAGTTATTCAACTAATAATAGATGTAGTATTTTCCATTCATATTGGTAAATAAGAATACCTACATTGGTTAATAATATTTATTGTGACCGTGAAGATTTGTTCATTCATATCAAATTTAGACTCTTGTTATTTTATGTATCCTATTTGTATGCTGAAAATAACTGTTAATATTGTATGAGGGGCTTAAGTGATTATAAGGAGGAGATACACGTTATTCACCGATTTCAATATAAGTACCACTTTCCCCTTTATTATAAAAGAGAGATTATTTGAATTCCTTCTTACATTTATTATATGTGTGATAGTACCACCTGGATGTTCTCAGAATTTCATAGGACAGAATTGAGCAGTTGAATTTTATGGAAATGATAATGGACAATAACAAGATAGATCTTTTTCTTAAACTGCAGTATTGTTTTCCTTATTTTCTTATTGAACTAATGGTTAGTGAGAAATTAACTTGGAACGAAGAGAGTCCCTTGTTTTGTTTAAATTCACAGATTTACCAACTATGGCTTTAATTATATTTGGCATTATGCTGGTCCATGCAAGGAGTCAAGGGGATTGATATGATTTTGATGCAGTGGCACATGAAGGTAGACATTGGCAAGTCAGCATCACTTCCAGAACAAGTGAAATGCACCTGCCAAGGAGTTATTATGAGAGACTTCCAAAGTCCTGTTTAGGCACTGGGCTTTTTGTATCAGGTAACAAAAACTGGAGTTAATGTTTTGGTTTCACTTGCTGAATTTATAATTTCTCTACCAATTCCTCCAAGGCTCCACCCACACACAATGTTGTAAGTCAGTGTCACTATGGAAATGTATTTCCTTATTTGCTGATCTCATTAAGAAACCTTTCTTATAATTCACAGACACACCTGGCAGAAACCCTCTTTTCCATTATGTCCCAGATCCAAGTTGGTAAATTCTTATGAATTCTTTGAAATTATCTTTAAATAAAACATCATCAAAAGCTATGGATGTTTGACATGTTAGAATATCTAATACTTGGAAAGATTAAACGTGCTTTTGAATGCTCTAATTCCTTCTTCAATGAGTTCAGTTGTCGTTGTTTAATAGAATTTAATAGTCTTACCTAGCCATCTCCGATTACTGGAGGGAGCCTTCTTTGTTTTATAAACAACTGTATAGACAAGGTAAAGCTTTGGAGTGGCTGTCAGTGTTGGTTCATCAAAATAACATTTTCCTCAATGATTATGCCACCATTGCACACTAGTTCTTAAGCATAGTAATGGCACCAAAGCCAGTAGCAGGAAAATATTTTACAAGCCAACTTTACAATTGGAGCCTTAACTGTGGGAGAGTTGTTTTGCCAAGTAGAGCTGGTGGTTATCTTGGAAATTGTGCTGAAGAACACAACCACAAATGATTTTGCCAAATATACAGTATTTACTTGGTCTAGATCTCCAATTTCTGTTTTGACTCACTGCCAAAACTCAGGGAATACTGTGACATTATTTAAGGAGGTTATAGAGTACATCTGTATACCTTGGTGTATAGTACAAGATATATATACTTTGGTATACAGTGGGAAAGAAGAGTTCCACAAGAGGAGAGGGTAAAGTGAGAGCCCTTGAATCAGTGTGATTGCAAGCCAAAAAGAGTCTTAAGTATCTGCTATTTCCAGCATTATTCTGATCCTAGATTGTACATTGCAGAAAATCCCTGACTTAAGATAGACATATAATCTTTTCGCAATAAAATAGATTTTGGTTGCCCCTTCCAAAATAGTAAATTCTATCAGCTTTGATTTATGCTTGCTCCAGTCATCATGAAATGCAGTTAAATGTGCTAGGATTCAAGAAGTAGAAATAGTAGGTGAATTTTCAATATTTTGTGTAAAAACAAACTCAGTGATAATGTCAACCTACCTGAAGTTTTAAGAATTTGGAACTCAATATTTTATATTTACTCAGGATTGTTACTCAAACTGACTTGAAATCAAGCTCCAAATAATCTGAGAATTAAAATTAAGAGATGAATAAATTAGGATGAAGTGTTTTTGGAGGACAGATTAGGACATAAAATGAACTGGTTGCTTCACTAAAAATACTATAAATGTTTCTTTTAAATTAAATTTATGGTTCTTGGAAGAGAGGCGCTGATTTCTACATCTATTTATTCCATAGTAGAACTTAGTGGTGTTCTACTCAGTCAATATGTAATGAAGGGAGTACAAGCTTCCAGTTATAAGATGAATAAGTTCTGGAATGTAATGTGTAGTACAAAGTTCTCACCACACACACATGCAAACTTTGTAAATATGTGAAGCGATGGATGTGTTAACTAACCTTATTGTGGTAATCATTTCCCAATATATACATATATCAAATCATTACATTGTACATGTTAAACTTACATAGTGTTGTATGTCAATTATGTCTCAAAAGCTGAGAAAAAATAATGAATGACCTAGAACTGGAAAAAAGTAGTGTCATTTAATTAGAAAATGTATAATCTATTCTCAGTGGTAATGGTGATGATGGTGGTTTTTCCTTAAGTATAACTTCTATAGGCTATGGCGAATGTTTCATAAAAGCCATCCATTGTAAACATACAGCTTAATGATTTTTAGTAAATTTACACAGAGATCACATATTTTTAATTGAAATTTCTATTAAGGTGTTTGTAGATTCAGATACAGGTATATGAAATAATAATAATTGGGCATGTACCTTTTGCCC